CACTTACCTCGGTGTACCTTAATGTAATTTTATGTGGCAGTTTGAACGGAATTATTGCTCTATAGATATAAGTAATCATTTCTTCCTCTTCTTCTTCCTTCTTGAATGTATACTTTAAAGCCTGTTTCTTCTACAATATTAGGCTTCTAGATTGTTTAAATTATCGCACCATCTTTTTTTTTGTCTGTCAATACTTCTTTGTCCATTTGGTGACTTTTCTCGTCCTATTCGTACTATCCTATCCTCTGCAATTCCACTAATCTGTTTGTTCCACTCCTATTTCCGTTTTGTCGCCCATTCATTTATGTCTTCTATATTGCATGCTCTGCTTATGTTTTCGCTTCTTGTGTTGGTGTCTTGTCTTAGGTATTTGTTCTTCCAAATTGTGTCGTTAAGAGATCCCGCTGCTTTACTTACTTTTAAGCTTTTTTGTCGTACTTCTTCTTCAACATCTCCGTAACTAGTTATATCTATTCCCAGATATCTAAACCTTGCTACCTGCCTTATTAGTTTCCCATCAATTTCGATTTTACATCATAGTGGATATTCAGATATTGTCATATATTTGGTTTTTTCTGCTGATATTATCATATTGTATTTCTTGCCTGTTGTATTGAACATATGTGTTAATCTTTGGAGCTCGTCATCTGTTTCGGCGATTAATGCAGTGTCGTCTTCATAAAAAAATATATTTGGATTTTTTTGTTTGATATTCTGTAATCATGATCTTTACGAACTGCTAGTATAATTTCGTCCATTATTTTATTAAAAAAAACTGAGCTTAACGAGTCACCCTGTCTGACTCTGATTTGTACTGGTATACACTATGTTAGTTTTCCATTTATCTTTGCCTGTATTCGATTATATAAGTTAGATGTTTTCAATGGTTTGTATAATATTGATTGGTATGTTTCTTTGATACAGTGGTTGTAAGACGTGTTTGATTTGGATGCGATCGAAAGCCTTTGTCTATAGAACATAGATATGCTGATTTATTAATTGTACTCGATAGCTTTTTCTGTGATTTGTTTTAGTACAAATACGGCGTCTACGCAAAATCTTCCAGATCTGAATCCTTGTTGTTCATCTAATGAAGTTGTTAGTTTATTGGTTTTGTTGATAAGTTATCACGCACCATCTTATTTTTCTTTTTGTAAAGTGACGATAGTTTAGGCTATCAGCGCAAAAATGGTGTAACCCACATTTTTTGCAAAATGCTGTTTTGGTGTAAAATACACTCGTTACATTATGATCTTCAATACAATATTAGTGAATATTAGTGTAAGCCACCTTTTAATACCCATCGACGGATGGCGCTAAAAAATCTATTTTTACACGGGTCATATTAAGTAAAACTATAGAGCAAGAGTGGTATAACCTCGTTACACCACTTTTGCATCATGGCAAAACCATATTTTTCTGTGACTTACTTCAAAATTCCGTCAGCTGTCAGTGTCGTGTGTGTTAAAAATTGAGGTTAAAAACGAAAATTGTTTAAAAAACATAAACTACCTTATAATAGTATTTCAATAAACGCTATAATAATATATCTAATCAAACAAAAGATTTGATGAACCATGGATGAAAACGAAGATAATACGCCAGGTTAGTAAAAATATATTTTTTTTATTATTGAGTTAATGCCTCGACAACTATGATCATTGGCATGGTACAGTCAGGTACCTAGTGTAGAGTGTGTGTGTAGAGTAATTATCTTGATACTTAGCAAAGTCGAGGTCATTGTCCTTGCTAAGAAACGCTAATTATATACGAACGTCTGCGGTCCCTCCGGTGAGTACCGATCGCACAAGGATAGAAATTATTTTCATTCATTAATTTTTAATAAACGAAAATTTCTCCACCCAGATGAGATTCGAACTCACGACATTTAGGTTTAAAGGTAGGCGCTCTTACCACTGAGCCACAGAGGGGGTTAGTTAAAATATTGTGTTTCTACAAAATAAATAATTTTATTTACATTTAGGTAGATATATAGACATTTATTATTTTTAAAATCTACAGTATTATAACAGTTTAGGTAGGTTATGTAGATTCATAAATCAAGTAATCAATTTGGTAACAGTTCGAGATTTTAATGAATCCGGCTCTGAATATCTACCATCCCCTGTGCCTTCCTCATTCAACTATTGGTACGAGTCGAATGCCTCTTGAGGATCGCAAAAAGTAGGATCTTGCTTGATGTATTTTTTTAAAATTTGTGACTACTAAAAAAGTAATCATGTAATCCGATCGGTGTGGAAGGCAAAATAGAAACATTAAGTCGTCACTGATTTGCCAGTATGTGGTATCTAATCCGGAGTTCACTATTGAAGAAATATATCATACATTTTTGGTCAGTGTACACTCATACCTACCCTATGTCCAAGATTTTGTCCTAATAGAAAAAAAACTAAAAAATTCTTAAGGAAATATATGTACCATAAAACTGAATTGAAGTAATTAAAACGGCGCGAAAAAAACTATTTAAAGTTATACAACTGACTGCAAGTGATTTTTTCTCTTCCAAATCACTAAAGAAAAATATAATTAATCGAAAAATTTCAGTTGGTAAAACCAAAGTGGAGTGGTTGAAAATTCAGTGACTAAAATTCCATAAACTTCATCCATTTTCAATATTTTACAAATACTCAAATAATGAAGAAGTCCTTTTTGAAGAAGTAGTGTGAAGAAAAGGCAGTCAGAAACAGTAGTACAACTAGATGCTTTGAAAAAACCAACTATTGCTGAAAAAAGGAAAAAAAGACCTTCTTGAATTATTACAGTTCATCCCGCCAGTACATCATACTTTCTATAATAGCCTTAAGGTCGTGGCATAAAATATAATGTAAATGGTTTTAAATATGAACAACCCACACTGTAGGGAACGCATCGTAACAGACACCTATCGTTTGCGTTCAGTATATTCGAAAACAATATTTTACTGGTGCCGACGGCTACGTAACGAGTCGTAACCGGTTGGTACGGATAATGTGAATTAAATGTCCGTCGTTTTTCCCTCGTTGTTTATTTAGGTATTTGTTTGATTTTGATACAGAGTATTTGAAAAAATAATTTTCGAGGCTATTTTGTCGTTTATACATGTATTTTCAATACTTTGTGACAATTAAACACGAAAGTGATAAACAATTAAGACTTTTCCACGAAAGTGATACCTCTTCTTTTTTAAAAATGCTCTTTAGTTTGATATGTATGGCTTCATTAAATGTATTCAAACTGAATCCTATTCATTCTAAAATATCCATAATATTTTTCATCGTCATCAATTATTAATTCTTTGTATAAAGTCCAGTATTCACCTTCCTTTTTCCTTTCTTTTAGCATTGGACGTACTTCAAACCTTCTTTTTCCTACAACTTTTCTTTCTTCATCGTTAAATATAAAAGCAATTGCACATAATTTTTGTCGCGAAAAGCGTGAAGATCATATCTTCACCGAAACAAACTGAAACGTTCTATGTATGAAAATGTAAACGCGCAGTCCGATTGCTGGAATGAAAACGCTACATGCCGGAAACTATACCTGCATGATAATATGCCGCGACCTTTAATAGTTCCAACAGAGTCCAGGATGAAGTGTTTCATTATGAGTCAGACGAAGAATTACTATAACTATGTACTACTTGCATTGTTTACTAATAAAACTTGTGTTCATGTGGTGTAACCTGGTTATTATTTTACATACAACCAAAATACGATACGTGCAGAAGTAGTGTAACCCACATTTTTTTTTCTAATTATTACATTAGCTTAATTAAAACAATACTATACAATTAGTGTAGATTCTGAAGTATTTTTTTATAAATCAAAAACAAAATATTTAAAATAATGTTTCCAAAAAAAATTATATTAAAAATCAGGTAACCCAAATTTTAATTCCTTATTATCTCCTAATTAAGTAGTCTGGGTATACACCACTTTTGCGCTGGTAGCCTCAGTTATAAGGCTCAGTTTTTAAGGCTGTAGTATCGGTGCACCAAAACATAGGTACTGTTATTTATCGACAAAATATCACGAAAATTGGACACAATATTCGAAATTATGTTGCTTTTAAAATATTATGGTTTTACTTTTTTTATTTTTTTGAAACTTCTGTTGAAAAATTGGATTATACTGTTTAACGTTCTATTATAACCAAATTTTTTACGCCCATCACTCGAAAGAGTTATTTTTTTCTGTAATCGTTGATTTTTTTTTCACCTTTCTGTGTCCAGTAATAATCGAGAAATGCGTGTTCCAACTTTGAAGAAAATTGCTAAAAAATACTAAAATCTAATAGTGAAACGTTTTACTCATCATTGTCGTTTATTTTCACCGTTATCGCCTTCGTGACGTCAAATCTCATGAACGTACGGTCAGTTAGTTCGTGTTAAAACTAATTTGAACGGAGAGTAATACATTTGTTATCATTAAACTAGGCGTCGGCTGCGCCACTGAGTAAAGATAGTCTCGCATAAGCAGTGTAGAAAAGTAAGTGATACGCCCATTTTAAATCGCAGTGTGCTTGAACTGCTAAAACAGCCTTAAGTCTCCAGAAATTTCTCCCCTTTTTCCGACTTTTTACATATTATTTTCTTCCAGTATTTCAAAACAATCGCCATCGAGTTTGACATTAAGATTATCAGAACCAGGTTATTTGTTATCTTTTAATAATAAAATAGCTTCTCTTTTATTCCTTCAGTCGGAAATAACTCATTCATTTCCAGTATCCTAATGACTATCACATCCTCATGATATTAGAATTAAAGTGAATTGAATTAAAAGTAATATTGGCGATAATACATAATATTCGTGTTGTCAGATTCTGTACATATTGTTTGAGTCAGTATTCCATTATATTTAATATTTATTCTCGGCTCGATATTAAAATTTATTTAAGAATAAATCTAACTCACGAAAATCAGTTTATTTACATTATATATTACCTACAAAACTTAAAAAACTTTTCATTTCTTCTTTGAAGAGGAATATATTTTAACTCACCTGTTTGGATTTATATTCGTTAGAAACACGGTAACCTAGTTTTAGGTGAGCAGCAAACGTCATGGCCTCCTTCGCTGTCAAAGCCATTCTAAGTTCTTCATCTTGTGGAATATACGCCGATAACTTTCTATACCGGGGGCTCTGGTCTCGAACGACATCGTTCAATTTTACTGTGCCGGTGCTGCCTTTCGTTCTGCAACAAAATAGATATGATTAGTTATAAACGATACTGTATGTATATTTAAAATTGTGGTAGTTAACTTGAAGGAAAGCACTGGAATCACTAAATTGGAATGCTGTGACATTACAATACTACTAATAAAAAAGTATTTTATAATAAAATATATAAATTTTACGAAAAGTAAACCCAAATTTTATAAAATAAGCGTATCTAACTGTCTCTACGAGAAGTAAAAACTGAAAAATAAAGCCAAATTCAGTTTCAGTTCAAACCAAACTGTAAATAAGCAGGAGCTTCTTTTCGCATAGGGGCTACAGGCTACAGCTATGTCATAACTGCAGATTGAACGGATTTGCTTGAAAATTGGGATTTAGGTTCCTCTTATTGTCTACTTTGCTTTTAGCAAGAGTCACACCTTGTAGGGGGTGAAAAAACATATATTTAAAAAAGTCCAAAAATAGATAAATTGACTAGTTCTAAGCAACTTTTGCTGATAGAGTTTTTGCACTAAGTCAATACTTTTTGAGTTAACTGCGAGTGAAAATGTTCATTTTTCAAAATAAAATCCACGTTTTCAGACATTTTTTACAGATAGCTCAAAAGGTAAGCATTAATCAAAAAAATATTTCTAGCAGGAATGTAGCTTATAAAAATATAAAAAATGGTATATTTATGAAGTCTGTAGACAAAGTACAAGCAGAGTTGTAGCTCATGAAAGGTAAATTTTTCTTTGTTAAATTGTAAATCATATAATTCAATGGATCCCCCTAAAAATGTCGAGTTACAAAACAAATGGAAAAATATACCAGGTGGATAGAGTAAACAGCTCAGATACCCACACCGCGATAACGGTCAGCCTCAAGGATTCTGGGGGAGGCAGATATTCGACAAAATTGAACATTGGTACATACAACATAAAATCAATGAGCGACGACATAAAGGTACATAAGCTAGAAGAGGAAATATCCAAGATATCATGGGACATAATCGGGCTATCAGAGATAAGAAGAAAAGGAGAAAACAGAATTCAACTAATATCTGGTAATATACTGTACTCCAAGGGCAACCCAGATGATACAAAAAACGGAGTAGGATTTATTATTAATTAAAGAATTGGTAAACATGTACCAACTATCAAAGGAATATCAGATAGAGTGGCATATATGATAATTAAATTTAAAAGAACAACTTTGAAACTAATTCAGATATAAGCACCAACCAGTACATACTCAGATGAAGACATTGAAACATTCTATGAAGAAATATCAAAAGCATTGGATGAAGAAAAGACCCGACTAACAATTGTGATAGGAGATTTTAACGCCAAGCTAGGACAAAGACTAAATGATGAAAAAACAAAAATAGGAAAATATGGATATGGTGTACGAAACGAAAGAGGGACAATCCTGATGAACTACATGAAGGAAAGGAAACTCTACGCCATGAACTCCTTCTTCAACAAGAAGCCACAGAGAAAATGGACCTGGATAAGCCCTGACACCAAAACTAAGAACGAGATCGACTACATGTTATCAACACAAAAATACGTAGTCAAGGATATCACAGTGCTAAACCGTTTCACAACAGGCAGCGATCACCGAATGCTGAAAGCTAAGATACAAATTAACAGCCAATTTAAAACCAGAAAGAAAATCCAAAACGTACAAAAACTAGATATGGAGAAACTTAGCCAAAACGACAAAAAGTACAAAGAAGATTGAACAGTGCAAAAGAAACACAGTAGAATATACTGAAATCAATAAAACAATTAAAAAACATAAAAGAAACCAAGAGAAAAACGCAGGAAGCAAAGATTGAAAGAGTAATCCAGCGGAACAAAAATATGAAATGCTTAAAAGAACGACTCTGTAAAACTCAGATAAATGAAATAACAAACAGCGAAGGAACAACCATTAATGATAAGAAACAAATAATAAAGTTGACACAAGAATACTATACGCACCTATACAGAACAAGACATAAACCACAGCAAGAAATTCTTAAACAATTAAACACAAAAATAAAAAATATACACTCTGACCTACAACCAGAAATAAGTTAAACAGAAATCAAGAAAGCAATTCAAGAATTAAAAAACCATAAGTCACCTGGAAAAGATGGAATAATTGCAGAGATGCTGAAGAGAGGAGCGAAAACAACTAGAGAAGTCCTACATATCCTCATGAACAAAATATTGACCACAAAAGAAATACCCGATAGCTGGAACGATGCGGAGACACTATTAATGTTCAAAAGGTGACCGAAAGGACTTAGAAAACTATAGACCTATAACATTACTAAGTGTTGTATTTAAACTACTAACGAAGATCGTGATAAATAGACTAACAACTAAGCTTGACGAATACCAAGCAAGAGAACAAGCGGGATTCCGAAAGGGTTTTAGTACTAGCGACCATCTGCTAACGGTAAAAATACTGATTGAATAGTCGAACGAGTATCAAATCCCATTATACATGGCATTCATAGACTTCCAAAAGGCGTTTGACAGCATAGAACATTGGGCCATCAAAAACTCGCTACAGAACGGCAAAATTGGTTACAGGTACACGGACCTAATAACAAACATATACAAAAATGCGAGTACCACAATAAAATTGACCAACGAACATGCTACAGAACCAATAAAATTCGAAAGAGGAATCAGGTAATGAGACACAATATCGCCGTTTAATCAGGCTATGGAACACATATTTAAAAAAATTAGAATGGGATACATAGGGAATAAGAATAAATGGAGAGCTCTTGAACCTCTTGAGTTATGCAGACGATATAGTCCTGATAACAGATAAGAAGGAAGAGTTACAGAAGATGGTTGAGGAACTAGATAGAAAAGCGACAGAGGTAGGTCTAGGGATGAACTATAGTAAAACCAAGACTATGACAAACCAAGAAGACCAATTAGAAATAGTAGTAAACAGAATAAATTAGAGCAGGTGGCAGAATACATATACCTAGGACAGATAATAAAGCTGAACAGGGACAATCAAACAGAAGAAATAAAAAGAAGAACTAGACTAGCATGGGCCTCATTTGGTAAACTATCATATATTCTAAAAAATAAAAAGTTTCTGAATATATGCGAACGAAAGTATTCAACCAGTGCATTTTACCAGTTATCACATATGGCTCACAAACATGGACTTTCACAAAGGAGAACATCGACAGGATATCCAAAACACAAAGAGCAATAAAAAGACAGATGCTGGGTATCGGTCTTAAAGAAAGGAAAAGAAACTCATGGATCAGAGAAAAAACAAAGGTGAACGATGTATCAAGACAGGTTGCAAAACTTAAATGGAACTTCGGCAGTCACACTCTCCGGCAAAAAGATGAAAGATGGAATAAGCGAATTCTACACTGGAGACCATGGGAAAAGAAAAGAAAAAGAGGAAGACCACAGAGGAGATGGACTGACGATCTTAAGAGAACGGCAGGAAAAGACTGGATGCAGATCGCTCAAAATAGAGATCAATGGAGATTAACAGGAAAGGCCTATGCCCAAGAGTGGGCATTTAAGGCTGATTAAATAGATAGATAGATCATTCAATGGAAAATAACCAAAAAATAAAGAACTTTTTGGAGAAAACTTACCAAAACTTTTTGAAAATGTTAAAAAAAAGGTTTGTTTTTGGTTTTTTTTTTGTTTCTGTCATCAAATCTAAGCAAGTTACGTTCAAAATAGAGTTGATCCTTTTTTTTTTGGTAAAAACATCGTGAAAGGAAAGTCACCTCTAATTAGTATCACAAATACAATTAATTATTACCGCTTTACAATTTACTTATGATCTGTAAGTTTGATACACTTACACTCGTGATTAGTGACTCGTTTAAACCTTTTGAACTATAGCCCTTTAAAAAAAATGGATAAAAAATTGACGTAAATGATCTTATTTATGTCATTCTTATATATGTAATAGTTGTAATTGATATATTTAATTAAAATTAAATTTAAAAATTGAAAATAACGAAAACTTCAAACCGTCTTCGGAATAGTCAACTTTATAGTACTTACAAAATAACCTCAAAAGGAAACAATTGGTTGGGTTTCAATGGATTAAACCATAATTGAAAATAATTAAATGATCTGGCAATATGCCGATGAAATTGGATTGCCAACAGAGAGCACAAGTCCCTACCCCAAAAGAGTTTTATACCCCCAAAATGTAGGAATGTAAATGCCAACTCTCAATTATATGTATATGCCAATTGCAACAGAAGTGTTCTACTTCAATCTTTGATTTGTTTAGTAATATAGTTCCCAAGTCATAGAAACAAAGATACACAAATGTAAAATAAAAAAGAATCAAGATAACTCGGAATAAGGTAAAAAAATAAGTGACTGTTTTGATGTAAAAAAAAAATCTAACAAGAACGTCAAAAAAGCAACTCCGATCGTGGACTCTTCTCCAACTACTGATTCATAGGGTGCTACTAATAAACAGACGTTAATAAGAAAACGTCTAGTTGAAGTAAATACAGCTTCTTGGATGTGAACTAAAGAAAATGCAGACTAAACCCAAGCGCCAGAACTAATAACCCAAAGATAAAAAGAGACCTAGAGGGGATGAGTAGAGTTTCCTTGACATATATCTTTTTCGCATAAATATTCAGTGTTTTCATAAAAAAAATTATTTAATGTACAGTATAATAAAAAATCAATTATTATTCCATTATACCAAGTATTTAATAGGTGTCATTGATATCGTCTAAAAACATTATTTTTTCGTTCCTAAATAATAGGAAAAAAACGAGTAATGATAGTTTAAAAACAGACAACTTTTTTGATAATTATTAATTATATTTGGGACTCATTTATCACTCCAATGTTGCGTAATGATTATGATCGAAGATAAAAAAAATGTCTTTACAAACAAGACTGGTCATTGATAGCGAGTATTTGACATCTAGTGAGGACTGTTATTTTATTACTCTGGAGTTATAAAACCTAAAAACCCCTTTTTAAAACTAATCCAGAGTAACGTAAAGTGATA